AAAGCCGAGTACAGGGGCACGATCACCTCCCCACGGCTCACAACCCCTCGCCCCACAGGCAGCAATCCAGAGGTCCGGCGGGACGGCATCCCCAAGCCACAGAAGGTGCTGTTCCCTGCGGAGCGCCTCTCCATGAAGTGGGAGCGGGTGTACCGAGTGGGCGCCGGGCTGCACAACCTGGGCAACACCTGCTTCCTCAACTCCGCCGTGCAGTGCCTCACCTACACACCACCACTTGCCAACTACTTGCTCTCCAAGGAGCACGGACGAAGCTGTGAGTGGGGCGTGGAAGGCACCGGTGGGGGCATCTCCACATGGCCGGGGTGGCGTGGGCTGGTCCCTGTGCACCCAAGATGCTCTACAGGGAAAACTGGGTGTGGCTGAGCTGTGTCCCCTGTCCTGCCTCTCTCTCTCTCTCCTGCATTTGTCCCCTATGTCCTATCTTCTCTCCTGCTGCAGGTGGAAGCCAAGGAGGCTTTTGCATGATGTGTGTTATGCAGAATCACACAATCCAGGCTTTTGCCAACAGCGGGAACACAATAAAACCAGTGTCCTTCATCCGAAACCTCAAGAGTAAGGATGGCTGCCCTCCCCTCCCCTCTCCTCTGTGTGCAGGGTGGCGGCGCAGGAGCCGAACCTTTGAGATCGGGACAGGTCTTGGCAGACGGCTCTTCTGAGATGACTCACGAGCCTGCCAAGGGCCTTCACAGGCTGCATGGGGCTTCCCCGGTGGCCGGCATGAGTCTGATGTCTGGTTTGGGTTGAGGGGCCTCAAACGCCAGAGCCTGCATCTGTTGCAGCATGTGCTGGGGCTGATTCCTCCCTCTCCTGCAGAGATTTCCCAGCACATCCGCTTCGGGAGGCAGGAGGATGCGCACGAGTTCCTGCGTTGCACCATTGATGCCATGCAGAGGGCCTGCCTGAACGGCTGCACCAAGTACGTGGGTGGTTTGGGTTGAGGGGCCTCAAACGCCAGAGCCTGCATCTGTTGCAGCATGTGCTGGGGCTGATTCCTCCCTCTCCTGCAGAGATTTCCCAGCACATCCGCTTCGGGAGGCAGGAGGATGCGCACGAGTTCCTGCGTTGCACCATTGATGCCATGCAGAGGGCCTGCCTGAACGGCTGCACCAAGTACGTGGGCCTCTGAGAGCCCCTTGCTGCTCTTTCTTCTGTCCCCTCATGGGTCCCCTGCACTCATGGAGGGGGAGGCTGTGGGGTGAATGTGTCCCCCAGGTGGGACTCAGAGGCAGGTGTTGACACCAGGGGCCTCGGGTGGATGGCCCGACCCTGCCCCGTTCTCCTGATTCTTCCAGCCCAGCACAGCTGGAGTCCTGTCCCCAAATCCTGAGGCTGCTCTGGGTTTGGATCCTGGACTGCTTGCTGGGGGATCCCACCGTGTTTACTAGCTCAGCCCAGCTTTGAGGCTGTGGGCAGGCAGCCGGTGTTGCCTCTGTGCAGTGCCCAGCTCTGAGCTTCTGGTCTGTCTAAAGGAACATGCGTGTGGGAGCCTGGTGCCACCCCTAGAGCCCTGACACTGGGAGAGCAGACTGACAGAGGCTGCAACTTCTGGAGCTCTGCAGCCTGTCTGCCGGCCAGAACAGG